TGTAACTTACTTTCCTGCTTAAACTATACCTTCACTGTCAACAATTAAAAGTACTATTACTCAATTCGCGTCCAAAGGTACTGCAGTAAATAACTGCAAATGTTCACCTGAAAATGTCGATAATAGAGCAGGACAATAGAGATTTTAACATTTTACTGCATGTGGGGGAAAACAAAATGATTAGTGCGAGGATTCTTGCATAAGTTGTAAATAAACACCAAACCACAGTGGGCAAATTAAAAAAACGCAAATTGTTTTCCTATAAATACGAGCAGCACCAAATGCTCAGGGCAGGCGATGAAGAAAGAAGAGTAACGTTTTGTTTTGAAATGATGGAAAAAGCAAATAATGATACAGATTTTTAAAAACATATTTCTAACCAGGCGTTGGCGACATTGGTGTCTATTTGCTCGAGTTCAATTGTAGCGAGGTACCGCCCATGTAGTTCTTTTGATTTCCATCTCTGTATCTTATCTTTAACAGTGGTTATTTCTAGCAATGGTTGATAATCTTTATCCGCCATATTAAGAGGGGTGAGTTTCTTATCTGCATTCACGAGGTTGCGGAGGTACTGATGAATGTACATTCACATCCAATGACGAACCAAATGTTCAAAACTGTCGGTATTGGCAATGAATATCGTTTTGTTCATACTAAAATAAATGATATGATGGGAATTTGTGGACATCATAGTATTGGGCCATTTTTTATAGACTATAACCTCACGACAGAAACCTTTTTTCTACTTATTACAAAATCAAATTAAACTTGCACTAGAAAAAGTTGTGCGCGAGGATCAGGAGATCTGGTAACAGATGGATGGTTTTCCCCTATGTGAATTTTTACTACTTAATTTTGAACACTCTGTGTAAAAGTATACAACAATAACAAAAATGTGAACAGATTTTTTTAAACATTTTACCAAATATGAGGATCAAATTTCCAAGAACTACAAAATATGCATTTTCAAATTAGGTTAAGCTGGAGGCACAATTTCTTTTCGAGGTCAAATTTTTCAGACTGTTTCACACAAAATCTCGAAATATAATAATATACCGGGTGTTCGATTAGAAATAAGCTCGCTTGGAATCTGCATTAAATCCAAATAATGAAAGGCGTTTCTATATGTATACGGTATAGTTTTCTCTTTATGGACCTCTGACTTCTGGAATCACTGCTATATGGCTGACGGTGCGCAATTACAAATTAAATGATTGCTGCTTTCACACTTAATGAGGAGCGTTCGATGATTAGTAAAAAATATCGCCTCTCATAGTCAAAAACGTGATTACTGATTTTTTAATCGGGCATGCGCTTGCTGATCATACGCACTTTTTTTAGTCAAGTGTCCAATTTACTGAAAAATGTGTTTTGTAAATTCAAATTAATGCGCGATAAACAGTACATAAATTCATAAATATATGCTCGATAAAAATCTGAATTAAAGCTTAATGATAATCTGTTATGGTCACATATTATTATTGTTTTGCAGTTTTCTGCACCTTCACAGAAACACTATCACTGCAAAAAATACAAAATTCTTCTGTAAAATTTGCATATAACTTAACATCGCATGCTTCATACTAACCCTAGATTTACTAATTCGAAATAGAGATATAAAATTAATATTACGAAAAAAGGACTATTTGTGTCAGAAGGTCATTCATTTTGCACGAAATTCATACAAGGCATTGTTAGGTTCTTAGTTTACTTTAACTAAAGCTTTTTTAAACTTTAATTAAAGCTTAATTGCCAGGTTTACCTTGCTTTAGGTAAATATTATATGGAAGTTATAAATGTAAGATTTACGGGTTTGCTTCAGCTTTGCGTCAAGTGCAACATTAACAAATATACGATTCAAGTTATATTTTGCCGGCGCGGCTAGATTGCTTACTTCGGTAAACAAAACTGTTTGTTTAGAATTCCGCAGATAATGAACGACGTCGTATCACCCCGTCGCATTATTTCTGTAATATATGCAGTTGCAATACTTGGTAGTCTGGACGGTTAACAGTGGTTGTGAATAAGTAAATTATTACATAAATAAAATACAGTTTAAGCAAATTATTTTTTTGTAGATGTTAGTTATGTTGAAGCATATGTAACCTTTACTTGTTCTACTTAATCTAAGGTTATGTCGATTACATATAGAAAATATTGTCTGTGCTGAGCCCTTCGTTTTATGCATCGCGTGTGCGGCTTCTGCCTCTTATTTGCAATCCCGTTAATTCCTTTAACTACACCATTCACCACAATAGGTTGTGGGACCAGAGTGACGCTGGAGACTCTGTTTAAAGTTATCGCGAATTTCAAAAAAAAAGGATGGCCTCCGAAGGACAGCAACATAGCGATGACTACAGTCGCCCGAATATTCGGAAGTTAGCAAGTAGCGATCAGTGGGAAACTTGGAAGTGGCAAATAGAATTATACTTTAACGAACAATGTCTTAGTACTATCGATAGTGGATTACAAACGTGCCCTGCAGGTCCTGAAATTAATGCCGAACCCTCTGAAGAATACAAGCGTTGGTAACATGATAACGCGCGCGCAGGTCGCATTATTGGCACTTTACTTGAAGAAGATGCTGCCATGCACGTCCGAAAGAAAACTAATGCTAAGGAAATTTGGGACACGTTAGTATCAGTATATGAGCAATCCTCGATGCAGAGGTTATACACACTCTTCGATACTTTCTTTGAAATCAAGAAATATGACCTAACCACAAAGATTTGATGATGGATCTGGTCGAGTTTGTCGTCTGAAGAAGTCACTATATATAACAGGTTCCATTCATTTATGGTGAATAATGGATTGTCGCAATCTATGTAGACGATGGCCTCATCGCTGGATCTACACAAGAATCAGTTGATTCGATTTTAAAATTATTAACCTCAGAATTTAAAATCACCATAGGATCATTAGATTCATTTTTTGGGTATGCAAATTCAGCAACGTGAGACTGGTTTTCATGTTTCACAGCGAGGTTATGTTGAGAAAACATTTTGGTATGGCTAATTGTAATCCAGCAAAGACGCCTGCTGAAAATCAACAAATTCCATATCGTTCAGCTGTGGGTTCGTTGATGTACTTGGCCTGTAGCATTTGCTGTATCAAAAGCTGCTGGAGCAATGGCGGAACCAACTACGTCTGACTGGATATCCCTTAAGCGAATATTCAGATATCTAATGGGTACAACTGATTTTGGATTGAACTACACATCAGTCCTTGACAAGCTTTGTGCTTACTGAAATGCAGACTTCGCTGGTGACCTAAACACCCGACGACAAACAAATGGATTTGTCTCACTTATTGTAGGTACTGCAGTTTCATGGACTTCTCAATTACAGAGGTCAGTTGCACTCTCAACTACGGAAGCCGAGTTTGTAGCTGCTAGTGAAGGTTCAAAGGAACTTGTGTGGCTTAAAAGACTGTTAAGTGAAACAAACAGTAAAAGTGACATTCCAGTATTGTTTATTGATAATGCAAGTGCAATCAAATTAATCAAAAATCACGAGTTTCACAAACGTACTAAACATATAGAAGTCCGTTACTACTATACCAAATCAAATTATATCAAAAGGGGATCATTGATATTAAACAAGTTTGTTCTAACGAACAGCTGGGAGATATGTTTACAAAACCGTTAGGTTCTGTCAAATTTAAAGAAATGTGTAATAAAATCGGCGTTCAAATGTGAATAATATGTAAAACATTAATTTAAAATGTAAAGGTAAAGCTTAAGGGGTGGTGTTGAAGCGTATCTTTACTTGCTCTTTGGTTTACTTAATCTAAGGTTATGTCGATTACATATAGAAAATATAGTCTGTGCTGAGCCCTTCGTTTTGTGTGTTGTTTTATGTAGTATTACTATAGGCAACTATTGTGAAATTTAGTGTGCATCGTTACCAAGATACCACCATATAAACAAATAGCGCGAAAACAGTTGAAGAAAATGGCGTTAATCTGGAGTTTGTAAATTATGTAATTAGAACCCTAATAAAATGTTCAATTTCAATCTGTAATTCTATTTACAAATCTTCTGGATTCCTCCTGCGTCGGTTGATTATAAATCAAAGTTTCAGTTAAACTCTGAAAGAAGCGAACAGGATGATTGGCAAACCATCGGTAAGTTTGATTTATAAACAACAAGCACGATAAATCCAGAACAAATGTAAATAATAAATAATAAATTTGTGATAATAAATAAATAAGTCTTTCAATCCGTTTATTGTATGAATTCCTAATACATCTCACCAAAGTGGGATGAATCTACTATTGGCGTTTATTTACGATGCAGGGATAGAATACTTCTCTTTCTCTTTAATTCAATAAACACACAGTTCTCCATTTTCAAGAGCTCCTGCTACGTACCGCAGCTTCATGTAATTAACTGACTATGTTTTGCACTATTCGATTGATTGATAGATTGGAAACAGTAGCATGGGGGAAACTTTTATTAGGTCCGACGGATCTTCCCTGCCTCTGACCAAGACTTGTCCTATTGGTCGCGCGAGGTAAAACGTGTTTTACTTACTTGCCCTATAAAATGGTTATCACAAAATTATAAGTCCGAACGAGCAAGGGAATTGAACCACAATAAATGATAATAAAATAAAAACATTCTAATTGAGTTCGCCAAGTCATAAATTTCCAAAAGACTGTAAACATCGTGTATATAGAAAACCAAAACATTTAAAGAACCTTGTTCTAAGTTGTAAAAAACTTATTAACAATTAGAGACTTGTTTCACTCCAGTTATAGTGAAACATACAAGTCATGAATCATTTCAGTATGGTTTTCAGAATAACGGTAGAGTATGAAAAATCATTGACTTAGTTATTAAGAGTAAGGTCTTCAAAGATTTGATAATTATGATAATAATAATAATTATAATAATATAAATAAGTGTTAAAATATTGTATGTGTGTTTATTCAAATTAATGTGATTTATTTAGACGTTTATTTACATTACATTTAGTTTTGTTAATAAAAGTACAGACTTAAACAAAAGTAGTATCTTTAATGTGTTTATTATAGTAATCGGTATCACTTTTAAATGGCCTGGGTTTCGAATTGTTTCCAACCTTGCACGCGTTTTCACTTTCGTCGCAATCGTCCCAAAATAGTATTTTGCTGCAAAAATTATTAGTAAAAGCAGTGATTTAGTTTTTTTCTTCGAAGCTAAGTAACTATATATCATTATGTTTTTAGTGTAATCTAATCAGTCAGGTGTTCTTTAACTTCGAAGCAAAGTGTATGTATAAATATATAAACAAAAAGAAAAAGTTTCAAAGCAGAGTTGACATAGTTAACTGACGTTGCCGGTAGGATCAGCTAAAAGTCTTATCAAAATTACAGTACTTAATACTATATTAAAGATGTGTTTTCCAGATATTTAGTGAAATAACTTAGCAAAATTGTTGATAAATCCCTAAGAGTCCAGACCTTTTATTTGTTTCGTTGTTGATATTGCAAATAAATTAGATTTCGACGGTATCCTTAATCATTGAATCAGCTTTTTGCAATGACTTGGAACAGATAAAAATGTCTTTGGTTTTATATTGCTTGTCCCCATGGAATGTCCTAGATGCATTCTTCGATCTAAATGGCACCCTCAGATATTCCCAGCGACAAAAGGTTATTTTCAGAATGTCATCTGCCAGCATTTCTATCTGCTGGAATACGGAAGTGAGATCTAAGTTTATCTAAGTGGGTAATTAAGCTTCTTATAGTCCACTATCCATTTTTGCCTACCTGATGCGTCTTTCGGGTCGAAAGTACCCATTATTCTTTGACCAATCATTTTCGGAATCATATCCTGGTTTTATTTGCTTGTAAACTTAGTGGGCAAGCAAATTAATTTTTTTTCTTCCAGATGAATTTTGGATAGATCTTATTTATTTTTACAATTATAGTTATGTTATATTTAGTGCTATTTAAACTACTTATGTGCAGAATCGGTTGGGCACATTGAACAAAAAAAAATAATGGTAACACCATTATCAATAGTGACACAGCAGACTCGTGAAACCATTAGACAGTGTTTGGTGGTTTCATGACGAGGTAAAAGGAAATTGTTTGTTGTATTCTAGCAGATCTTTTTATCACTAATATCTAAAAATCAGGGATAGAAACATTTATTTAAATTTAAATTTAAATTGCAACGAAGTCTCACAAATGGCAAAGCTGAAAAACTGATGTGTACCGGAACGCTTAAATGTCTTTAAACTGTCGAAGCGATCAAATTCTGTCCAGTTGAACATGCACTGTTCAAAAATGCTAACTGCGCTGTTGTCAGATTTACCTCTTTTAATTAAAAAAATTCTCAGAATTTTGCGGTTTTTAAAGAAGTGGTGAAACTGAAAGGTTACCAGAATTGTAAATATCATAGCGAAATCAGACATTTTGAAATTACGAGACGTTGAAGTTTGATATGCGCAATTCATTACAAGAAACATAAGTAGGACATTCCCCCAGATATTGAATTTAGCGTTCCAGATTTGACAGTTTTAGAAATATTTACTTTTTACTAACTCGGTACAGCAATACTCGCTTCTTTGTATAAAAATTTTGTTTCGTCGACTTGCTGACTGCGCCAATTGACTTACGCGATGCGTCAATCTCGTATTTATAACATATCGCGTAGTTAACTGTATAGGAGAATTCACCATTGATGGCAGATTAGATACATTGTTGATTTGTTATAAAGTATCATAACACCAGAAAGCTAAAATTGTGGGGGCGGTTGACCAAGACATCGTTTATTAGTTCTGTCACCATTCAATTGAAGCAACGAATGTTCAAATTTTTTGGCAGCTATTTTTGAAACACTATGCCTTTATCAAAAATGTTAATAGCATTTAAGGGATTTTTATCAAGTAAAAGCCATCTCGTAACGTAATACCTTAATGGCCTTTTAAAATTATGTTTTAAATTGTTATGTGGTAGACCATATCTACATATAACTAAGTGGTTAAAATAATAGTAAAAAAATACGTTCAGCCTCTATTCTTTGCTTGATGGGGCATAGTACTGCGGAAGTTACAACTGATTTGGCTGCCCTAGCTAACCACGCCAAAACCCAATTTTCCCCATTTAGCATTATTTACTTCGGGTTAAAAGTTCTAAACCATTTTAAATTTTAAAATATTGCCCACTGATTTCCTGTTTAAAATAATACTCATAGATCCCTTTTGGACCTCCTTATTTTATATCCTTCAATGCAATACTTAATACTGCTAGATGTATGCATCCGTTTGATTTCAAAGTGCGATCTCAGTACAAAACCATCAATAGATTGACATTTTTTTTTCAGAATTATTTGCAATTTTATGTGTAAGGTTAGTTAGAGTAGTAAGTCGTTAGTAAGAGATACGAAGTTGGTTAAATAACAATTGCAATTCGTTTTGACTTATTTGTTAAATATTAAAGTTTTAATTACATTTTACTTCGGCAACTAATTATTACAGTAGCAACCGGAGAAGAACGCACTTATTAAATTAATTGCAAATTGAAAATATAAAATTTATTTGGTCCCGTAAACTAGGTAAGAATACAGCCTGGAATCATGTATGATGTTCAAATCGAAAGCCATCTGCTTCAATTCCTTTTTGCGATAAGCCTTGGCAATTTTAATATGGCACTAAATTGGGTTGTAGTTAATTTATGTTATTAAGGGTTTCGCGATATAAATTTTATATTTTATTTATTTTTTTATTTTTTTTTAAATTTTATATTTTATTTATTACAAAGTCTATTTGAGATAAATGTTTTTATCCACCTTATTTTTTTATGTACATCAATTTTAGGAAGATATTGTTTGGTAACTAATTAGGTGTGATATATACATTTATTTTTGGAACGGCGAACTCTTTCGAACTGATAATAAGAATAAGTTGATGTGCACACAAAACCGAAACGTCTTACTTAATTATTTATTTACTTAATATTGCCATCTTGTAGGGGAGAAAAGGTGGTCATTTGATTTTATAAAAAAATTAAGGCCAGGCAAAAATACAAAAGAAATTGCTGATTTTCATTTTTCCGCACATCTCCCGAACTAATCGGAATTTTCTGTTTTGTAGTTAAGCGTTAAGCATCTGTAACTCTTTTGGTGCTAGTAAATTATCTTGTAACTTAGAATCAATATTGTGTTAAATCGTTTAATTAAAGTATAAGCAGTTAATATGTGTGTTAGTTTTTGTTACACAGAAAAATATCATCTCTTTTTGTGTTATATAAACACTCATAAGCATTTTTTTGAACGCTTTTGTTTTCAGCGTTTATTTTCTTTTTATTGTTGCTTTTTCATAAATATGCTATTGGAAATATTATTTATACCTTTAAATAAACGTTATTATTAATATTATTATCAAAATGCGCAACTTTGCCTCCATTTAATCGACTTCCTATCTCTTACGGTTTCTGAGATTCCAATGGTCCCCCTCGAATTTGGGACTCCTGTATGTACAGCAAATATGGCAAAATAACTCGATGTTTACGAACACTTCCTTCGTCGAAATTCCAAATTATATATTCGTACGTGACATATTATTTATAAGATTATCCAATATTTGCCAAAATAATTTATAAAATGTTGGGGGGGGGGGGGAGGTTCTATTTAAAGACTGTATGAAAGCGGTATAATCGCAAGTTGGAAATTGAAATGCCCCTGTATAACACATGTCAGACTTCTCTACACGCAACGAGTACATATGGCCTTGGTAAACTATGCCCAAGAGTTTATCTTTCTACGAGTACAAATATAAGGAAAATGATTTTTTTAAAAGAAAATCGCTATAGATAATGTTAGGGAATGATTATAAAAAAACATTTAGAAACCTACGAAACATGTGATAATATACTTTTTCAAATCAAATTCAGTTAAACTCTGAAGAAGCCAACAAAATGATTGGAGAAACGTCAGCAAGTGTGATTTATAAACAACTGACGCAGGAGGAATCCAGAAGATTTGTAAATAGCAATAATATACGTTTTCTAGAAACGTTTAACCCGCAATCCATCCTCAATCATCGTCTATATGTTCCCTGATAAAAACCAAGATACCTTATGGGGTTACTTTTTGTTTCACGCATGCCCACGCATTGATCAGTTGTCAGTTTTAGGGTGGCTATTGCGGCGAGTTCTTCGTTAATCGCGTCGTTTTCGCTGACACAGAGAACACCTTCGGTCCGTCTAAATGTCGAACTCGTGCCATTGTATCTTTTATCTTCAAACACCTGAGCGTAAGCCTCATAAACGGGCCCTTCCGTCTTGAAGTCTCCGTCGGAGAAGAAAGGCAGACCGCTATCCGAGCTTTCGTTTTCACCGGGTCCTAAAGGGTGTTAATTAAGCACCAGTGTTAACTAAATTGAGACTAGTGTTATCCAACAAGACATAAAGAAAGAGACATGGAATGTAAATGTACAATGTTCGCAATTTCATTGAAACGAAGAAGGGTATACTTCGACCAGAAATATAGTGGTTTTACAACCGACCACGTGATGAACTTTGCCTATTGTGTATTTATTTATTGTGTATTGCATACACCCTGTTGAGCAGACCCTTACCCGTAAACATTCCAGGACCGTCCTAGGACTTTATCTACCTACACTAATAAGTGGGAAATAAGTATGTTTTCAAAATTTTTCACCGAGCAATTCTTGAAACATGTACTTAAAAAATTAGTACAAAGTAACAATTTATTAGGTTCTATTTCTACATAGTACCATTATTAACTTACAAAATATTAAATATAATGAAAATAAAGTATTAGTCATTTAAAAAGTCACTATCGCTACTGTCATCACGTAGTTCAATGATCAACTCCGCCACTAATCGTTCACTATAAATATTTTCTTCTTTTTATATATTTTGATTTTATATATCTTATATTATGGTACTGTCACTAAATTTTGCTGCCGTGTGATTTCTTCTTGTATGCGCTTTCAACTCGGACCAAATCATCTCAATCGGGTTAAATATACAATGATACTGGGGTAATCTCAAGATTTCATGTCCGTTTCATTGTGCTATCAAATCGACTTTGTAGTCTTTATTAAAATGTTTTATTTTTAATAATTCCGGAAGTTGTTTTTTCGTGTAGTTCTCTTCAAAATATAAAATATTTTCTTACAGAAATTCTTTTATTTCTTCTTTTTCTGAAGAAGTATCTGTTTTTTTATGACGTACCTTTATCTACCGCCAATATAATCTATAGTCTATACAATACAAGAAGAAGAAAGTTGTTAATCGACAAGCACACAAGACAAAAATGATTATTTTAAAACTTACCTTTGAAATAAATACTGTGCATGTACTTAGCCCTAGGGTCAGAGAGAGAATCAGGTAAAGTCTGTTCATAGATATAAGAAAGGGACTAGCTGATTCGAATTAAGGAAAGACCCGGGCAAGCTGTAAGAATGAAATATAGTCGAACAGGTCCGTACTTTGCTTAGAATTTAATTATTTGGGGTTTTGTTAGGAAAATAAAATAACAAATTATTTTTATTACCTACTTAAATTACTTAAAATTATTCACAAAATATATTAGTATCACTATCGCTATCGTCGCCTGTTCTAATTATTATTTGTTCTATATTATTTGCAGTATCGATATACGATTGTTCTGCTTTTTCTATATGTTTAACAGAATTTTCCCAACTTTGTGGAGGGATGTTAAAAACTTCGGTTTCTATAATCTTGAGGATATTGAAGTTGAATACGGGGAAAAATATGGTTATGACGAATGGCAGATTTCAGTTGATGCCAAACATGGGATTAAATATAAAAATATACAGTGGTAAGGAGGAAGCCTTAAAACTGTATGCCCTAGATTTTTTGCATAATTTTCACAGACGTATTCCTTTTGTAGGTTCAAGCTTCGTGAAAATAAATGTCGTTATTATACATGTAGTTTTGGATTGTTGCTGTTGTGTCTCATGAGGAAGGGGTTTTAGTCAACTATCTACTGTGATAGCTTGCATTGTCCATTACAATTACGCTATTAGGAGGAATGTTTGGAACCAGTTTGTTTTTAAACCAACTTTCAAATAAATCAGCGGTGGTGTCTTCATGGTAATCCAGAGAAGAATCTTTAATATTTTTCGCAGACAGAGAAAGTCCATTTGGAATCCAACCATCTTTAGAGCCAGCTTGCAAAATAGTTATTCTTTTAACTCTTTTTGATGGCGCGTTTGTTTTGCACATCAGTTGAGTCAACCCAACCCTTTTCCGGGGTATCATAAGTGTCGAACCAGGTTTCATCTAAGTAAATAATTGGCCTTTGTTGTTCTCTGTAAATCCTAATTTTTTCTAGATATTCCAGTCGCCATATCCGAATTCTAAAAGATTCCATTAAAACTTGACTTTTGTTAGTTTTTTTAAATCTAAAACCCATTTGTTGAATACACTTCCATAAGGCAGTTCTGCCACATTTAACACCGGTTTCATCTTTTTCAAGCCTTCTAATTAAAATATCTAATGTAGGCACGCTTTGTTCCTCGTATAACTGGTAAATTTTACGCCGTATTATATCTTGATCACTTTCATCTACACTTGAGAAAATGTCAGCATCGCTTCTTTTTTCCCTCGTTGAAATGGAATTATTCACAATTTTCCATACAGTTGATGTTGGAATTTTCGTCAATGTGGCCGTTTCTTCTAAAGATGCTTGGCTTGCTGGCACCACGTTCAATGAGAGTCAATTAAACATTCTTTATAACTTCCTTAGTCTCAATGGAATAGTGTTTTCTACATGTGGGCGGGAGCATCTCCTGAGATACACTAGACTCGCACATATTTCGCATAATTCGCACACGATTCAACACACGCTGTATTACACACGAAATAAGAATGATTACTAATAAGTAGTATACCAAACCAAAGAATATTAAACACAGGTAGGTATAAAATTATTTTCTATTACGGACCACAATTTTACCTGAATTTAAATACCGTAACATTTAACATTGTATGTTATGACCACCCTTGGATAATACCATTGAAAAGCATTTGGTCGCTTTCTTATATCTATGGACAGACCATACATAAATACGTACTTAATGGAAGGATCACAGTCAAATACCTCCATAATATATACGAATGTATTGCAATGTAGATTAAACTTTTAAGATACCTAAGATGCCTATCATCTCATGTTGAAACAACCGCTTTTCCTTATTCGGAAATACCCCGCAGCATCCAGCACGGTCCATTTACGTTTCAAATAAATGTTTCTAGTTTCTACAAATATTCGTTACGGTCCATCTCAGGCAAGACTTACTTACGGTCCTGCGAAGGTCTGCGGTTGATGTACTGTAAAATACTTAACACGTCAACGCAATAAATGCACTATATTTTTGGTCGTATTATACGCGTTTACGTCATGACCGCGACATCGAATTTGAACCTATAAACATTTCTTTCGTAGTTTTTTTTAGAATTCTATGATAATGTGACGAAATTTTATTGTATTTTTTGGTACCTTGGAAAGGTGGTAATGCAGCGTCAAGTGGATTTTCCAGCAAATCCCTCATCCTTCTCCTCCGGCCCGTGCACTGGCATAAGATACACAAAAAAACAACGATCAAAACCGAAAACCCCAGAAATAACACGAAGGTGACTTTATCGCGGCCACTTCTGCAATTTCTCTCGTCGTTTCCACCTGGACAGTGTTTAATCCCGTCGCAAATCTCGCTCGGCTTTAAGCAGGTGCTTGTTTGGCCACATCGTATCGAATCGGGGCAATATTGCCAGTTGCAGCCGAGCTCGTCTTCACCCCGTTCACAATGAAGGGCGCCGTCGCACCTTTGAGCGTCTACGTCGTAGCAGCGGTTGCCGCAGGGCACTTTTCGCGGACCGCAGACCTCCTTACAAGAGTATAAACCTAGACAGACATCACCGCTTCGATTCGTGCACTTGAAATCCTCGCGAGGACATCGAATGACGTAACTGGTATAAAACAACGATACCAATGCATTTCCGGGGTGAGATACCACGACCGTTGCGTTGACGGGCATCGTGACGGAAATATCCGTTTGATTACATAAACTGTAGTAAGTCGTGTCGTTTTCCGTACTTTTGAAACGGAAGCAGCTACCCATGTTCCGTTTGTCGAGATGTACGTTGATGACTGTGTCCCGCGGGGTTTTTATAGTCCACGAACAAATCGTTGCGGGAAATTCGGGATCGGTTCTTATCACCCCTTTCGGTTCTCGATAAACGCTTGGTCCGCAAAAATTGCTTGAGCTCTCCGAACGCTCGAAGATTATGATCAGAACGAACATTACTGCTTTCGGAAATATTTTTGACATTTCCGAGGCAGATGTCGGATGCCTGGGTGACGAATTAGCAAGATTAAGGTTTTGATTTTAAGGTTTTCCATTTAACATCATGAGAATAATATTGTTTTAATAAAAACTATTGGTTCCCCTGTACATTTTATAGCAATGTTGTAATATAACTTTTTGAAAGGGTCGGTATGATTAACTCATGTGCCGAGTTTGACTAAATTTTAATAAGCCAATCTTTTAGAGCAATTTCAACAATTAAAACGTTTTATTATCCAATTCGAATCCAAGGCGCCCCAATAAATAACTACAAATGTTCAGTGAAAAATATTGATAATAGAATAGAAGGAAGGGCTAATAAGATATTTGAACATTTTACTGCATGTGGAGAAAAACAAAATGACTAGTACGAGGATTCTTGGACCAGCTGTAAATAAACATCACGCCACAGTGTTGCGCACATAAAAAAAAAACAAATATTTTGTCTATCAATACGAAAAGCAGCAAGAGCTCCAAGAAGGCGATGTAGAAAGCAAATAATGATAGGGATTGTTAAAAAATATATTTGTTTCACTGTTATTCAAAGATTCAAAACTGTCGGTGTTGGAGCCAAGACAATGCATATCGTCACAAAATAAATATTACGGTGGGAATTTGCGGACTTCATATTATTGGATCATTTTTTATGGTCTCACGGCAAAAATTTATTTGGACTTATTTCAAATCAAATTGAATCCTCACTTGAAGAATTTGTTTGCGAAAATCAAGATATCTGGTACCAGATGAATGGCTGTCCTGCCCATTATACCCGTATGGTTAGGGAGTATTTGGGAAATACTTTTAACAGCAATATTATTAGCCCAAGGTGCCTTTGATCACCCAGGTCCTCTGACCTCTTGCCGAACGACTTCTTTCTGTGGGGTCAGTTGAAAACTGTAATTTATGAAAATGTTAAATTTGAAAATCTTAAATGGTTACAAAAAGATATTTCCTTAGAATGTGACAGGATTTCACAATATCGGGTAAACAATGTTAGAAAAGAATTTTATGATCGCTTAGGATATTTATGTTTATTTATTTATAAATTTATAGTCGTTCCTTGAAGATTCCTTGTTGCTTAAACCGGCCCTTAATGAAATTCATGTCAAGAACACTTTAAGGGACAAGGAGGTCTTAGGAACCGAGTACGAGTTTGTTCCTGAGAAAAACATAATGATATATCTACATACTTAGTTTATTTTGAATGGGTGACTAATTTAATTCGATAACTGAATATTGGCATATTAAAATTTATTCAAAGTCAAATCGTGCCGGCCTCCTCAGCAAGTTATATTACAACCTTGCTATGAAAAATGTACACCGTGTATATGTAGCTCCGGTAAAAATTGATGCGCCGCGCCTAAATTCGCAATAAATAAATAAATGATACCTGTTTTGGATGTTGTCGGGTAGTTTGAGCTGGTCAGAAGAAGAGCTCCCCTCTTGTACGCCGGGCTTTGAGAAACGTTTATATCCTTTTGCAAGGCTAAAAAGTTAATTGGGAAATTATTATTTATAAAAATGTCTGTAATTTAGTTTAACTTTCTATGTAAGGTTACGTTAATATTAGAATGCACAGACAACAATAATAACATACAGACCATACCTTATCGCTATTTAATGGTATTAAAAGTCTAGAGAGTTTTGTTGGGATTATCACCAACTAGCTAGAGTGTCTATGAAACACTACGCTTTGAAATCACCCTGCTAGGAATCTTCCAAAATTGCTCAGCTCCATTAAATTTCTCACAAACAAGTAGTTCTATAATACCGGAGTTAGATTATATGTATCTTTAATGGTTTTCAAGATACCCTATAGGGGGCAACGAATTTAGGATGCACCGTACATTGTTAAAACATTCGCTTTGACCTTAACAAACAGGAAACGATTATATGAATGAGGTCTGAATATCGATACGGGCAACATTTCAAGCATTGCTAAGAAGCTTTTACGTATGCAATGTAGGCGTAGAATTTTTTTTTAACAAAACGCAGACCATTTTTTCCATAAATGCCATACCATTGTTGACTTAAATAAAAATCGCTTGGTGTGCTGCTGCTGTTTGGTGTAAGCACGATAAAAATTGACTGATTGACTGATCTAAATTAAGTGTTCATCTTTGGTAATTGAACGATTAAATAGCAAACTAGTGGCATTTTTTCCACTGATTAAAAACACATTGATTATAAGGTTTGGGAAAAAATGAATAAATAAGGACTCTTTAAATGGAACGCCCTGTATATTTTTTACTCTAACGTTGGTAAATCATCAACGGAACGAAACAGGTCATATGCAATACTAGCCTAAAATTGAAAATAACCGAATTATCAGCACATTTCTCTTTTAGGCTAAGATGGCTGTGAGTGGTTGCGAAATAAAACTTCATTTTGCTTTTATTGATGGGCATTTAACCTGACTTGGTCTTTCGTATCGCGTCCCCCTATCAAACAGCTCTGTTTAAGAGGTCTTTTAACTATAAACAATATCCCCCTCAACATAAAAAGTCTGGGTAAGTTCAAAATCAGTTTTATAATTTAGGGTAAAATCTATAGGTACAGCATGTGCATTTCGTTCTTGTTTTTGTGCCAGTTTAATCTAAATTCCTTTTTGACTTTGTTTAACTCAGACTTTTTATTGCCTTTTTTTGTTTTCGTTCTGAAAGGGCTGTATGGCCATATATTGTCCTGCCTTTAGAGGAATCTATTAGCAATTAATCAACTTAGCATTAAATAAATATGTTCAAACATTACATTACAATTCAAACATTAAATTAGAATTATAGTATATTTAAAAAATAATAATAATTGTAATAATTGATATATAGTGGATTCACTGTATGGTAGCAACTAAACTTTTTGAAAATGTCTTGACTATATTTCGTGTGACGCAATAAGCATTGTCCTGTGACAATGTGCATTAATAGGAGAAAATAAATAAAATTGAATAATTATTAAACCTAAAGATAAATAAATAAATAAAAGGTTTACTTTTTAATTCCAAAGAGTACAACAACAATTAAACAATAATTAAAAAATAAATAATAAATACAAATATCTGTTGCGGGGGCACTGCAGCCTTTGCTGCATACCTCTTTTCGGTCGCCATTTTTCTGTCATTCTGTTTCGTCTTTCATGTTGTCTCTTCTAATTCTGTGTTCCCATGTTGTCAGTAGTCTTCCTCTTTCCTTCGGTTTCTATTTGGCCATGCCAGATAGTTGTCTTCTTTCTATGTTGTCCATTGCTGAGAAAACCCTTACAGTCCTTTTCCTTATGTCCTCGTTCCGTACTTTTTTCTTGCCAGTTGCCAGCATTCTGATCCATACGGTAGAATTGACTCTACTAATACATTAAGTAGTAATAATAAGCATTTATCTTAGAATTCCTTTCACTTTCATCATATTTTCCTAATAAAAAAAACTATACAACACAACATGTGTATAAACTTAAACAAATTCAGCAATCAATTCAATCCCACTAGTTATTCGTTTTTCATGTCTTACTTTTCATTTGAACTTCTTTAAATTTAAATGTAATTGTAATAATTGTCTAAAGATAATGATAGTTACGCTTAAAGACTTAATACAAATTAAAATGTGACATACTTAGAGATAATTTTCAAATAAAAGAGAAACGGTAGTCCATGGACTTAACAACAATCAAAATATGACATATTTAGAGACAATTTTGAAATAAAAAGCAAAACATTATTGCGTTATTTTGATACTATTTTCTTTTCGAAAAATTAACCATCTTTTCCATAGCTCGCAAGACAGAGACGACGAATAAAGATCACGTAACCTTGGCGCGTACAAGTGTACCACACATCACTGACACAGTTCGTTCCCCCTTTTGTTATATTTTTCGTCGGCTTTATTCGACAACTTAAATGAATCGTACGTATTTGATGAGCGGAATTGAACGGCTAAGCGAGTTCGGGTTCGGGCAGGGAATAGTTTCCTATCGTTCGCTAGATACGGAAACAGTTTAGATTGGATACGTATTCTTACGTGCGCAACGTGACGTTTTTCGGAGTGTTTATTTCTGTTTATTTATGGTTGCTTTTTTTAATTGTGTTGGGTGAAGTTGGTGGTTTGTTTTGATTCGCTTGATGTGTATTTTTGACGGAGGTATGTTTTATGTGTTTTCTGAAAAGTATCTGCAACATTTGCATGGGGGGGGGGGTTTATACCATATCTCGAAATCTGTGAGTGTTATAAAAAAAAGGTGGAATACGAAACTTGCTTTCTATTTTACTTTTTTTTTTAACATAATATCCTATATTTTACTGCATTTTTAAATACTACTTTAAAAAACCAAGCCATGGGATACACATATAAATATGTGTATCCCATGTAAATTTTTAGGTGGTCAAATATTGGCTAAAATACATTTTGACAATGAATGACAACACGACAATCCGTGGCAGTAACAAAATTTTTATTTGTGATTGTTGTACGTTATTAAACGCGCTGTAATTTAAAGCTAAATATGCGTCAATCAATTGAAGAAGAGGTAACCATAATTAAATTGTTTTCAGTTTATTTTCCTGGTATACCTTCGATTTCAACAATTAAACGTACTATTACCCAATTCGATTTCAAAGGCACCGTAATAAATTACTGCAAATATTCAGCTGAAAAAGTCGATAATAGAGCAGAAGAAAGAAACAATAGAGATCTGAAAATTTTACTGCATATGCATATGGAGGAGGAGGACAAAATGAGTAGTATGAGGATTCTTGGACAAACTGAAAATACGATTAAGGACTTAGAGAAGCATTTTGTTTTGAAATTATGGAAAAAGAAAATAATGATAGGGATTTTTCTAAAAATATTTGCTTAACCGATGTACATTCATACTCAAGAACGAACCAAATGTTCAATACTGTCGGTATTGGAGCCGAGACAATGAATATCCTTTTGTTCATACTCGAAGCCAATATCGGACATCATATTATTGGGCCATTTTTTATGGACTATTACCTCACGGCAGAAACCTATTTGGACTTACTACAATATCAAATTGAACCCACTAGAAGAAGTTCGCGAAGATCAGGAGATCTGGTGCCAGATAGATGGTTGTCCCGCCCATAATTCCCGTATTGCTAGGGAGTATTTGGGAAATACTTTTGGGAATATTATTGGCCCAAGGTGCCGAATCCGTTATAACACAACTTGGAGTCGATACAGGTTTTAAATTATTTGAAAAAGGAAGTACCTAATTTAGATTACGTATCTGTCATAACTACAATAATAAATAATACCATATAGTCAAGACTGACATCTAGTTGGTTTACATTATCGACTTGGTTAAAAGTATCGCATCTTATGAACTAAGAGTCTCATGTTCGACAAATCCTGAACTGGCAGGTAGCACAATGTTGGAAATGAATTTTATGATCGCTTAGGATATTGTTTAACTGTTAATGTTGTTTGAACATTTACTTATAAAATGTTTATTTTAAATAATGTTTCTCAAGGCAATGTTTTTTAGCTGTATTTTTGTTATAATTATTAATTATTTTTAATAAAAGGCTTGAGGGTCAAATTGATAAAGCTTTCTTGTTGCTTAAACCGCCGTTTAATTGAAATTTATTCCAATAAAGCTTTAAGGGACAAGGAAGGATTAAGAACCGAGTATAAGTTTGATCCTAATAAAAACTTATATAAAATATACGTACATACTTAGTTTATTTTGAATGGGTGAAACCAAATATGCATTTGTTTCTTGTTAACCAAGCTTTGTTTGATATGTCGTTGTGCAGCTTGACCTCTTCAAGTTTTTAAAATTGCGTCATGGAAAATATTCGCTGGTATTTGTTGTATTGACCTCTTGCAATTTTGTATTTAATTCAAACTGAAGATTCGAGTATTAAAATTTATTTAAACTCGGTACGTGAGTTACTCATACCGGCTCCTTCAACTTTGCTATGAAATGTTCAGGAGAGCCAATATTTGGACAACTAAAAATTTTCTACGTGCCGTGCGGTAATGCATCACCCGGTAAATCGGCACCGTTATTAGCAAATATCTTCGGGATTCTGGTTTTGTTGGAAAGGTTTTTGTAACGTTGCATATTAGCTTTTAAAACATTCTTCTGCGTAACATATTTTATAAAATATATACTTTTTCTCAGACAAAATACAAAAGGGAAATATTTTTATCAAAAAACTGTTGCTATATTTGGAAAAATTATTTCTTTTCTCACATTTTTTAAATAATATATTTTACCATTTTCGGAAAGGCGAAGCCAACGATATATATGAACATTGCACTGTTTTGAATTTTTTGACAAGTTTTATCAGTTTGGAGGAAATATTAACGCAATTAACCTTAATAATGAAAGCGTCTTTATTATTTTTGGTGAATCTATAATGGTAGTATAATATATAATATATAATAACAGTAATTACATTTGACAAAACTTTTCAAAAACAAAATTAATAATTTTATATTAAATTTTCCACATGTCCACCATTTTCAATAACCCGAGTTATTGCACTTAATAGATAATTGGTCGCATTTAATTGGTTAATTGCATGCCGAATTTGGTGTAACGCAAAAACTTCTATGGGTTTATTTTTGTATAGTATTTGTTTTAAATTGTCCCACAAAAAGTCCAGTGGGTTTAAATCGGATCTCCTTGCTGGCTATAACATTTTACCCAATCCATTGTGTAAAGTTTCCTTTCAAATGCAGATTTTTTTCGATTATGTAATGTTAATGTTAATTCTAAAGAAGATGAGTCCGAAGGCAACCCCACACGTACCACTGTTGCTCTTCCTTACATTCAAAACATCACGAACCACATATCATAAGTTCTTAAGAAATATAACCTCAAAACCACATTTCACTTGTCCAAAAATCTCTCAACATTTTCGATCGCGAGCGAGTTTCAGTTAAGATCTGAAAAAGCCAACAGGATGATTGGCGAAACGTCAGCAAGTTCGTTTCAGAAGTTTTGTACATAATATCGATTCATCCGTCCAAATGATATTTTGTAAAGATGTTATCTAAGAAATGTCTATCCGTCATCTATCTATCCTTAAATTGAAATCCGCCGGTTATAATTTTTGGACTGGTGTAAACTTAAATCCTTTATAAGCCTTAATTTTTAGGCAATCATGAAGGGTTGTTTGTAATAATGTATGTTCCATTTTGAAAAATGTAACTTTATTTGACTATACAAATTGAAATAATACAAAAACTTTTGCATTCAAACTTTTTTTATGACACTCATAGATTTCGAGATAAGGTATAGACCCCTCTTTAACCGGACACCCCGTACAGAATTATTTTACAATATTTAACTATTAAAAATAGGTTATTGTTGAACCGCCGCCACACATAAAATAGCAGCCATTGATGCTAAATAATATAGTTTAGCGAACTTGCCTACTTTTTCCCCTCCATCCAAATATTTGGTTTTGGAAACCCATTAGGAAGCATAAACATTTCAGAGTCGAGCGGTACTGAAAGACTCGTTGTTTCTTACGTAAATAAAATTATAAATTTGGCGTAATGATTGGATGAATACACAAACCGTACATTAGCAGCAATATACGGGGTGCTTCCGCCATTGGAAATGGTAAATGATACGCAGTCGCTCAAATTAATAATAGTAATTAATTAACACAATTAAAATGATTGAATAAAAATAAAAATGACTAGTAAATCACTATGACTGTACAAAAAATCTAAGAACTCTTTATTTATATTTATTTATAATGTGTTTTACTTCGCTGTCGTGTCGTTCTGAGAACTAAATGACTTAAGTCTTTTTTTTTGTAGTTTTACATTTGGTATTTATTCATAAAGGTTCGATATACAGATCGCGAAAAATGTTCGGTTATAGCATTATCGTTAGTGTAAGTTAAACGTAGATTTTAAAAGCATCGAAGTGAGATGCAAATATTTTGTTATATTGCCAAACGCCACCGCAGTTTCATATAATATAAAGCTCCTCCAACTGTAGCCAGGTCTTCGATTCATCAGTCAATGTCTACATTTATGCTTCACAGCAAATCATCACTACGAAAGAAAATACAGCCTTTGATTGACGGGCTGCAATTGAAGAGGTCTGTAGCAGTTCAACCACGTTTCTTAACCGAAGCCCATATCATGACAAGAAGTGAACCATCGATTCCAAATTTAGTAGACTAATTGAATCGTAACCTTGTGAATCGAGGCTTGTCCTAGGGCCGAACGAGCCCCACCATCAATCAGATCACCAGTTTCTAAAACATAAAATGATGCTTCGAAGTTGTATGTAACTGTATAAAGTCTATTTCATCCACAAGTGCCGAAGCTAAGCGTGTGAAATACTCCCAAAATCAATATGACATATGACTAGGCATTAAACCACTTGGACTATTAATGGACTTACATATTTTGTATTGTACCGATATGAGGTTCTTTGCAAGTATAAGATGCTTTTAATTGCATAAAACCTTTTTATTAGTATGTTTCATGAGTTGAGCATAAAGAGCATTATTATTGTTAAATCTTGTGGATGGAGGTTTTGGTGCGGGATTGGATTTCCTAATTCAAACTATTTAAGAATGCTTGAATTTTAGGATCATTCATTAATTCATTAATATTCATACATAAAATATACAACTTTGATACATTTTTGGGACAACCTGTGTAATATGAGCGTAATGTAATTTTAAACAGTACAAATATAATATTCTGTGCCGTGTAGAGTGAACAACCCTGTGGTACCTATTAACAAAAAAAAAATATCAATAGCGGATACCATCCACGTTATCAGTGATTAGTCATGAAACTAAGTAATGTAACCAATAAATTCTAAAAATCTTTGCTAAAGTCAACTTTGTTAAACCAATTCTCTGTTAAGATAACAAAACGTATCGGTCTATTATTTGTGCTCAAATAGTCCACAATCTACTTAAGCTTATTACCCGCGCCGTCAGTAAAAGATTTAATTACAATGTCTTTCTTTTTATGCGATTGTCCCCTGACCTCGATAGTTATACGAACTCTTATCGTGGTGTTCTTGTCTGTATTTAATAATAAACCATACTCATGCGGGTGTTGCACTACGAATACTTATTTCAATTTTTATTAAGCTTCGTCATTGTTCGTTATTATTCTAACTTAGTTTTGCCCTCAGTTTTACCAGTGCTGCCATCATCGTTCCACGTAGCTAGTTTTTTTTTTACTTTTGTATTTATTGATTTCTAATCTAATCTATTTTTTTATCGCATCACAATTTATTTTATATTCTTATGACTTGTTGATATTTTCCAAAAATATTTTAAATCCATAATCTTTTGAATAACTGAACAATTATGTGTTATGTAAAATTTGTCCTCACCATGAAGATGGCGGCTGCGAAGGGAAAACCAACTCCGAAAAAAGAAAAAACTGTTTTTTCGGCTCAGAAAGTGATGGCGACCCTTTTTTGGAATAGAAATGAGTTACCTGAAATGAGAGAAAATGTCTTGTATCATTGTTAGGTCGGAAACTTTTCAAGTGAGTCTCGTATAATATTAGAATTGGAAATGGAGTGATACTTAGGATCTTCATGTTTGTTATAGTATTAAAACGTATTTTTCCCTTTAAAATTAAAATAGCTACTGGACATATTCAACGAAACTATCGATAAGTTTACCCAAAATATTCAGTAAAATTGTCAACTTTTGCTAGGAACTTTTCATAGATAAAATAAGCTTGCTGTTACGAAACTGGCTAATCAAATTTTATAAGTTTTCTAACTTATTCCCCGGACTATTTATTTCTATAATAATATTAATATTTTTAAGTGTTAAATATCATTTCAACAAATATAAAATTTGTGTTTCGATGAAAAATTTTAATTAATTTTACAAATAATAATAATAATATGGCTATAGAGCGTTATCCATATTCTCTGACTAGACGCCATAACTTGGACAGTGGCTCCTTGGTGTAGGTCATTGTGTATGGCTGTTTCCTCCTCTTTTTGGCAGAGTCTGCATTCAGTGTTTTTTTTCACATGCATTGATTGCATAGCTTTTGACTGGGTATAGATTCCAATTGTCTTATTAAGAATCTTTTTCATTTCTATTTTTTTTATTGTGGATATCTCATCTTGTAACACTGCTGCTTACTTATCTATTGAAATAGAAATTTTTGTTTTCGTTCTGGGTTCGTATATTCCAGCTCCAGCTTCTTCTTTGGTTTTTGACCCTTCTGGTGCTTCGGCTTCGGCTGCATCCCGAATTTCGACCTGCTTTATAGCTCTATCCCTCATAAATTGGTATGTTCCATTCAGCCACGTAATTGTAGGTCGCCCTCTTTTTCTTCTGTTCAGAGGACACTACTCCCTTGCCCTGTTTGGCAATCTCTCTTCTTCTATTCTTTTTGCGAGTCCTTAACATATTAAATTTCTTAGTTCAATGTTATTAATCCTGTGATATATCCTTCTTAGTCTGATTTTCTCATTCCTGAGATGCTTCGTCCTTGATATTCGGCACTTCTCAGAAAGCCCATGTCCACAGCCTCGACCATCCTTCTTCTTCAATTACTGTATAAATCCTTAGCTTTATTAGATTGGATATTTTACTTTACCCTAGGAGAGGGTTTGGCAGAGTAATTGCATTTTTGCTTTTTTGAACTATGCTTTCTTGAAATTTCCTTCTTTCGATATATTACTTCCTAAATACTTGTATTCTCTTCACGTTCGAATTTCGCGTATGTGTTATTGAGGATATTCAGTATGTCACTCTCTCATGTCCAGGGATTCGGGTTTTGCAAGGTTGATATTAAGTCCTATAGTAGCAATCATAATTTCGACGTCTGCATAAAGAAACCCTATAGACAATGGTGATACCAATTCCCATTGCTCTACTTCTCCAGCTTTCCATTGAATCTTGGTTATATAATTTAAATGGCGTTTAAATGTTTTTGGCATTTTGTTAGTCCGGCATTTGGAATAATATAGACATTTTGTGTTGCTTTGTGCAAGTGTTTTTTGATTAATTTTATTATTAAATTTATACTGCAATCAAACTTTTTATGCAGCAAGACAAAGACAAGTGACAAATATTCAATTATGGTTTTATTGGCTGCACCTCATGTAATGATACTCACAGTACACCTTTTTACAATTTTTGTAGCCTAATCTATTCAAATTGATAATATTCAATTATATTATATTTTATTAATTATGTATAACATAATGATATAATAATATTAATTTCAATTTTCTGTTTTTATTATAGTTGTAATCAATATGACCTTGCCAATTAAATTTGAATCTGCAATAACTCCACGATATTTAATTTTATTAGTTACCTTTCACCTCCTTTCATCTTGAGAAGCCAAGAAAGTTTTACTTATCAGCGTTCAGTGTTTAGTAATTTTTATCATACCAAGTTTTTATGTATTTCATAATCTGTTCTACGTATATTTTCACTTCAGACTCTTTTTTTTCTCAAACGACTATGGCAATGTCATCTGCAACAGACAATGTCTTTCTGTTCCTTGGATATTAAGCTAAATCGCTCAGTAGATATTAAAGAGCACTGCAACTGCCCCCCGGGCACACTAAGAACTAGTGAGGGCATCGTTAATTTTTACTCTCTGAGTTCTATTCAATATATGGGAATGGAATAGTTTATTAACAATACCTCTCCCTAATCACTGTTGCTTTTCTATAATATTTGTTGGCATGGTCAGTTAGGCAGGCGACAGCATCCTTCATACTAGAGTGTAGCCTAAAAATCATCGGTTAAGAACTCTCTTGTTTAGAGAGCCGTAAAAGTATCTCAGGCCGAGTCACTGAATCTAGAATTAAAACACCATACGTCTACTCTTCTCTAATAATTTGCACATTAGAGATATTAAGCGTTCCACCACAAAATACAGATCATCACCAAGGCACCAAAGGCAATGAGCAACCCCACATTTGCCACTGTTCTCCACTTTCAAAAAACATCACAGATTTACTACTTGCCTAAAATTTCTCCACATCTTCGATCCTTCAAAGATAATAGTCCGTTTGAGAAACCAGGAGTTTACAGCATTCCATGCGTACGCGGCGGAGAATACATTGGAGAGACCGGACGAAAACTCAACTAGGCTCAAAGAACATAAAAGAGCCTTAAGACTAAGACAAAATTTTATTCGATAAAAATATAATTCTTGCATGTAATCAATTCTTCTACCAACGATAAATCCGAAAATCTATAGAAATATATAAGCGAGCAAAGAAACTTAGCCGCGACTCAGTTCTTTATCTGTCACCAATATGGGAATCACTCATCCCAGACGATGTTTATGCTCATTTAGCTCCTCTCCCCTAAAACAACATATAAGCAGGTAAAGTAGTAAAGGTAAAAGGTGAAGAAGTCAACAGGATGATTGACGCAGGCGTAGTCCACAAATTTTGTAAATAGTAATTTAATACATTTTTCAATTATTTTGACTTCCATGGTCAGAGCTATAGGTTTTCATCGTTTATCTTCAGATTTTTGGATTTGCTCCCTAATGGCAATGGCAACGTTTCGGGCATTTGCCGAATGAAAAATGTGGTTCATATTATAAATAATTAAATGAAAACCATAAAAGTGGTAGTACAATAAATAATTAAATGAAAACCATAAAAGTGGTAGTTGTAAAACACTGAATTCAAGATTTAAACAGGACACTTACCGGTTTACACAGGATTCTCCATTGTTGTACAAAGGTAGAGTTAAGAAGCAAACGTCAAATCGGATGTCCCTAATGTGTCAATTTCGGTAGAAGTTTCGATGGTGGCAGAATATTGCTGGAAGCGTGCTTTCTAACACTCTCGAAACCTTCGCAGCTTGTAAGTATACCAAACAATTCGGTGCAACTAAGTGCAATTTGTTTAATATCGAAGGATATGTGTGGAGTTCGATGCTGACCAAGCGGACGTAGTTTGATGATTCAGCAATTCGCATTAATGAAATTAAATCCGTTTAATAGCCTTTTCCTTATCGAACATTTTCTCTTTGTGTTTATCAACCGCATATTAGATATCGCGAGTCATTTTAATGCTCATGTTGCTGCGTTTTTTCGTGGAAGCTCGCGTTCAAATAGAGAAAGAGAGAAACGTTTCATTTTTGTTTCAGGTGAAAATTAAACGAGGGACAATTTAAAGGATAGAATGGGCGCGCGGCAGTCGAAGCGGTCGGTCGATATAACAACGACGCCCAAAAAGGGCGACGAGTCCGCCGCAGCGGCGGCAGTCACGGAGGGCGAGGGCAAATTGGAAAAAATTGCGGAAGGCGATGTGATCACCACCAACGGCACCCTACACAACGAAATCGAATATGCGGTAGGTCGCGACTGATTAAGAATAATCAAAATCTTGATGACTCAATTTTACGTCGGCATCGACATGCTTAGTGGTGTCAAACGGGGAATAACAAAAAAAAACGCGTTACTTCAAGGAATAATCAGCTGGGTTGGTCTCATTGAATTTAATAGGGAAAAATATTACAATATGCTAGGAATTCACACCTGCGTTTACGCACATGGTGCGATGGTATGTTTTCATTTTTTTCCAACAATCATAGCGCAACTGGAGTTTAGATCAATGTGCAGCTCACCACCACTAGATATGCGTGGTACAGTCCGACACACGATAAACGGCAATGACTGTTATAATACTATTAAGGTTTTTATTTGCTCGTAGGCATTTTTGGGACAATAAATCAAACCGGTCAAGGGTAGTAGTAACGAAATTGAAACACAAAATATATGAATACTTTTTGTTGTATTGTGTACCTACTATATACATATTTATAAATATAAATATGATTGATAAATGCAGATTAAATAAAATTAGTCCTCAGAATAGTTTGAATCTGTGCTAATCACCATCATCGAAGGATGTACATTAATGGTTTTACTTTTTACAAATCTTCTTCATATACCGGGTCTCGTATAAATTATTAGGTGGCCAAATATTGGCTTCTCTATATATTTTATGGCAAAGTTGTAATATAACTTTTTGATGGGGCCGGTATGATTAACGCATGTGCGGAGTTTGAATAAGAAAAACTTCAGAATTAAATATCATGGCGAAATTGCAAAAGATCAATACAACAAACACCTGCGAATATTTTTAATGACGCTATTTCCAAAACTTGACGACGTCAAGCTGGACAATGACATATCAAATAAAGGTTGATTTGCAATAAGGTCATGCACATTTGGTTTCACACATTGAAAATAAACCTAGTATGTAGGTATATCATTATGTTTTTCTTAAGATCAAGATCTTGTCCCTTAAAGCGTTCTTGGAATGAATTTCATTTAAAGAACGATTTACGCAACAAAGAAGCTTCAAGAAACGACTATAAATTTGACCCTAAAGTCTTTTATTCAAAATAATTAATAGTTATAGTAAAAATACGTCTACAAAACATTGCTAAAAAGAAACTTTATTTTTGAAGTAAATGTTTAAACAACCCTCCATTAACAGTTTACCAATATCCTAAGAGATCATAAAAAATAAATTATTGTGAAATCCTGTCGCATTCTAAGGAAATAACGTTTGGTAACTGGTTATGATTTTCAAAATTTAACATTTTTATAGATAACACTTTTCAAGTGACACCACTGAAGGAAGTCGTTCGGCGAGAGGCCGGGGTGAGCTGGGCCAATAATGTTCCCGTTAAAAGTATTTCCCAAATACTCCTTAACCTTACGGGAATTATGGGCGGAACAACCATCCATCCGGTATCAGATCTCCTGATCTTCGCGAACAACTTCTAGTTCGATTTGATTTTATAATAAGTCCAAATGGCCCAATAACATGATTTCCGCAAATTCCCACCATAACATTTATTTTTTGCGGATATTGGCTTCGAGTATGAACAAAACGATATTCATTGTCTTGGATCCAATACCGACAGTTTTGAATATTTGGTTCGTTGTTGAGTCTGAATGTATAGGGTGGACCGTTTACCTTATCTCAGAAACTATAGGGAATGGAACCAAAAGTTAAATACAAAAGTTAATTGGGGTATTACAAAACTTCAATTTATTTTAATATTGTGTGTGTTGTGGGTGTTTCATTTTTCGTTCGTTCGTTCGTTTCAGTCTTCTTATTTTAAATGGAACGCCTAGTATATTCCTTCATTTTTTAATTCTACACAAAATTCTAGACATATTTTGTGTATAATGTCCTATACCAAAGTCTAAGCGTTAATAACATTTTTATTTTTTTATTCGAAAAATGACATTTGCAAGACGTAAGATATCTGCCAATTTCTTCATTCGGAAGCATTTATTGTTTTACTTGAGTAAGGTTTGTTGTAGACGAAGAACTGGAATAACGGATTTCATTATAGATTTCGAGACATAATAATACAGGGTATGCAAAAAATAAGATGAAATTGAAATTAAGAAAACTGTAAAAAAACTTTTTTTTAAAGGAAACTACCTATTTTTATAATCTTGTCATATTTCGCATCAAAAATTAAGGCAGTTTTAATATGTTTACTTTTTGAAATATTTCCTTTTAAACATTTTTCACAAATAATATACTGTTGCCACATAGGTTCAGTTAGTGTAAGGTGGCTTTGACGGCGTTTAAACAAAACAAGTGCTAGAATGCTGCTTGCGTATTATGTTTACCACAGAGGGAAACACTGATATGTTAGAAAGTTACATATCGTACAATCTAAACCGGACCATGGCTCTTAGAGATTATATAACAAAATTTCCATTAAGGAGGCGCCCAGAAAAAAAGATCTTCGACAGGATTTACCAACACTTTAAAATATATGGAGCTTTGAACAAAGAAAAAAATAGACGTCGTCATATTTCGCATAATGAACAGCAACTTAATATTTTGTTGAGAGAGACCCCTGAAAATTTAAGCGGAAATGCGCCTTTAGATCTAGATGTCAAAAGAACAACGCTTCGAACGTGCCTTTAAAAGAACTGGAAGTCCTATAAATTCTGTCCAGTGCAAAGCTTAGTGCAACATCAGGTTAGATTTTAGCAACAATCTTATGGAAAGATACTTTTCAGAAAATATAATTGCTAATATTATTTGGACAGATGAGTCCATTTTTTTTTCCAGAGAAACTTCCACAGACTTACTTTTACAAAACTTCTGGATTCTTCCTGCATCGGTTTTTGCTGTCCGGTTTCGTGATTGTGTGTGGCAACAGCTGATGAGTTTATTTGTCCTAGATGAAATTCCATTTGAGGTGCCAGGAGTTTGCAGCATTCCATGCATATGCGGCAAAGAATACACTGGAGATACCGGACGAAACATATCAACTAGGCTCAAAGAACACGAAAGAGCCTCATGACTAAGACAAATAGACTCATCAGCTGTTGCCGAACTCAATCACGAAACCGGACATAAAATTTTATTCGATAAAACTAAAATTCTTGCATGTAGTTGATTCTTCTACCAAAGATAAATCCGAGAGTCTATAGAAATCTATAAACAACCTAACAATCTTAACCGCTACTCAGGGCTCTCTCTGTCACCAATATGGGAATCAGTCATCCGAGACAATATATAAGCAGGTACAGAGTAAAATGCGAGCCAGTTTCAGCCAAGCTCTGAAGAAGCCAACAGGATGATTGGCGAAACGTCAGCAAGTTCGACTCAGCAAAAACCGACACAGGAAGAATCCAGAAGTTTTGTAAAAAATAGATGAGTCCATATTTACAACCTCAAAAAGAAATTTTAATGGGAAAAATACCCATTACTGGAGAAACCAGAATAATAAAAAACATATGGAAGTTACAAGTTCAGGTAGAACTTCTGACAAAGTAGGCTGCGCCATTCGGAGGTTCAGAATAATAGGTCCAGTATTTTTTGAACAGAATGTACATTTCCAATGCTACCTAGAGCTTTTAAATGTTATCCATCTCTTTGGTGAAAATGAAGTGCCTGACAACGAAATTTAATTTGTCAGCAGGATGGCGCTCCTTGTCACAGAAGTTAAGAAATTAGCACCTATTTAAATGCACACTATAGAGAATGGATTGGGGAGAATGGTAGTTACGCCTGGCCTCCACGGACCAACGACTTCCCTAGATTTTTTGCTATGGGGTGCACTTAAAGATTTAGTTTATAAGCAAACTGTCAACTGCCCAGGAACTTTAAATGTCGGATAAGAGAAGGTATCGAATATTTACGAGGTTAGCGCCAAAATTTCCAGGCCTGACATAGATGCAGCTCCAGTATCACGATAAAACTTTGTCTCCTTTTAAATATATATCTTGGTAGGCTGCGAAAAAAAAATTGAAGTCTTGCGTGAAATAGTTTTTTATTGACAGCATTTTAAACAAAAAATGTCGCAAATAACGCAACTTGAGTATAGAGCAGTCATAAAGTTTTTGAAAAAAGAAGGGTTAGCACCTAAAATTATTAAAGAAAGGCGGGATGGTGTGTACGGCCAAAGTTCTCCTTCGTATTCTGTAGTGAAAGAATGGGCACAACGTTTTCGAATGGGGCAGGAGTCCCTTGAAGATGATTCAAGAACTGGTCGACCAGTGGAGGTCATAACGGTAGATATTGTTGCAATTGTGGAAGAGGTGGTATTGAGTGATCGACGTTTAAAGGTCAAGGAAATCTCAGAAATTACTAAGCTTTCTGATGCAAGTGTTCATCGAATCGTGCAGGATCATTTAGGTATGCACAAGGTTAGTACAAGATGGGTTCATAAAAACCTTTAGGCCATTGAAAAACATCGCCGTGTCAAGGGTACGTGGTCTTTTTTGGAACCCTGTTGGTCGGAACCGAAGCCTGTGATAAAAACTATTGTGACGGGAGATGAAACTATGGTTCTCTATTATGATCCTCTATCGAAAAAAGAATCAATGGAGTGGCGTCGTAAGGGTGGAGCACCTCCAAGGAAATTCAGAGTCTGCCAGTCAATAAAAAAGGTGATGGTCACGATCTTTTGGAATTGTGAAGGAATTCTTTTGATAAATTTTAATGAAACTAATACCATTGCCAGTGGGAAATATTACGCAACATTATTACATAAATTGCGAGACTGCATACGTGTAAAAAGTCGATTAAAACTGACCAGAGGCGTGCGTCTTTTGCACGATAATGCAGCTGTCCATACTGCTGGTGTTTTAGAGTGTGGGTTTCAACAGATAGATCATCCTCCCTATAGTCCAGATATGGCCCCCAGCGACTATTATTTGTTTGGATATGTGAAAATGGACTTATGTGGGCGGCGGTTTAACGACGAAGTTGAGTTAAAAGAGGCTGTTTTAGCTCATTTTGCAGACAAACCAAAAGAATATTTTTTAAAGGGATTGAGTTGTTAATAAAGAGAAGTAATAAGT